CCAGGCGGAGCAGCAGTTGCAGCCCTGGCTGTCCCTGGAGCAGTGGGAGCTGCCGCTGGCCCCAGGCACTGTCCTGTGAGGAGCTGCTGAAGGACGCTGAGACTGAGGGGGCTGAGGAGGCGCTGATGCTGAAGGGACCTTGCAAACCTTGAGGTGTGAGGGGCACTGAGGGCTGTGGGGGAGCAGAGGGCCATGGTGGCACGGAGGTGACAGAGGCACGGGCTGAGGGCTGTGCCGGCTCTGAGGGGACACAACGGCTCAGAAGGGACTGAGCGGGGGGAGAGGCCTGGGAGAGGCCCAAGAAACTGAAGAGGGGGCTGGGGCTTTGCCGAGAGGACGGCGGGGCTGAGGGGATGGAGGGGGCCAGGAGGGAGCACACAGAGCTCAGGGACTGCAGCTCTGCCAGGCCTTGCAACCAATTGCAGAGCCTCCACTTTTGCCACCACAGCTGTCCTGAAGAGCTTGAGGACAGGCAGACACTGAGAGGAGCCAGCAGGGAGAAGCTGAAGGCCTGGAGCAAGAGCAGTGAGCAGGGATGTGCTGGGGCCACGCGAGAGCCTGGGTGAGGCCCCAGGGCTGGTGAGGCCGGGCAGGGCTGAGGGTGGCGTGGGCTTTGGCCGTGGGCGCTGCCCGGCCGGGCAGGAGCGGCCCCTGCCCGTGCTGGGGCTGCTCAGCGCTGCTGCCCCGGCCGGCACAGGGGCTGTCCTTGGGCAAGGCAGCTGTGCCGGCAGGGCCCGGGAGCTGTGCCGGGCTGCCGGGGGCTGCGGGACAGTCCCGCCGCGCCTGCGCTCGCCACACGCTGGCCCGCTCGGCCTGCTTGTTCTTGCCAACCCTCCTGGGGAGGCTCGGAGATTTTCGCTTCCCTGCTGGAAGTGCAGCTGCTGCCAAGGGAAAGGTCCCAGCACTGACTCGCTCTTCCCTTTGCCTCCCAGATGTCCCATCTGCTGTCCCTGTCCAGGAGAGCTGCTCTGCATGGCAGGAAAAGACTGAGGGAGAGGCTTTGAAGATGGGGCGGCTGATTTGTTCTTATGCAGTTGTATGGATATTTAGATTGGGACAGTGACATTTGTATCTTTTCAAATAGTTTTGTTTTATATATCTATATGTATATGTATTTTATAAAATATGTAATATTTAATCTGTATTTCCATCTGTAGATTGTTCTATATGTATATCTAGAGGTATTTAGTTCTATTTCGACATGTATGAAGAGGTATAGTTGTAGAAGTCTATCGAATTCTTAGTACAGGGTTTTTTAGAGGGAGACACCGATAATTTTGTATTTCTAGATGGGCTGTAAACTTGTAGTAATCTGTAATAAATTAAGTTGTTAATGTAATAAATTAAGTTGTTAAACACCTCATTGATCTTTGTCTATAGTGACTTGTAGAGGTTAGCAATAAGTTACATTTTTGCTAACTGAAGTTGGTATTTGTATATTTTTACGTGGCATTGTTGTGCTAATATAATAAATTACTATTTTTCAACTTAATTGAGAATTTTATAATTCTGCATTGTCAGCGCATGTGTAGCAGTTTGTAATAAATGACATTTTTCAACTGAAATGGATTCATGTGTATTTGTAGCTCAGCTGTGCGGCTGCAGCAATCTGCAAGCAATGACATTTATCAGCTGAGATGGGTGGTTTGTGATTTGTGCTCTCCAAAGCAATGGGCAGATGGAAATGCCATGACGCTGGAGGATTTTGGTGATGAAAATCTCCAGCCACGCCCAGCACATGCCCCACTTGCGCTCAGGCTGGGCAAGGAAAGCGCAGATTTGGGATGGCAGCAGAGCCACACGTTGGCTCAGAACTCGCTGCACAGGCCTGCTGAGAAAACTCTGGGACTCTGCTGCGCGTACAACTCCAAGCAGGAGGCAGCGGGGCAGGAGAAAGCATTCACAATGAAAAAACAAAGAGAAATTGTGTCCAAACAGATGTGAGGATACTCTGGGAGTTTGATCAAATGCTCTAACTCAGCACTGCCTGGGCTCATTTTCAGCAAAACTAGTTTGTTAAAAGCTGAACACCTTCCAGGAAAGAGAGATTGCTCTATCTTTGGTTCAGGAATGGCACGGTGACCAATCCCAGGTTACTCGGTCCATTTGCACCCAACACCAATGTGATGGATGGCAAGAATGGCATTTATTGCTGGAGAATTTGACACTTTATAACCTAGGTTCACAGTGTCACTCCCATCTGCTTTCATCACAGCTAGGTGCTATTGGCTAATTACGGGGGTCATTACCATAAACTATGGAGGAGGGGGGTGACTCCATCTTTCCGTTACATCCCGATATCTTCCGACCGCCGGGCCCTAGCTGACCACATTTCCACCCCTCCTAATGCTTAACTAAATTTGCTAGAATATGAGTTGTATTAGTCTTCTAAGTTCTAACGTTATCTGTTTTTAATAATTTTATCTAATTTATCTATATTATGAAAAGTTTTAAAAGTAGATATAATAGACTTGAGTAAAAATATAAGGTGCACTATACTTAAGTAAAAAGGTTAAATACTTATTAAATAGACACCGCAGTGTTTCATTAACAAACAATAAGGCACAGGAGGTGACCAAGTGCATTCTTGGAGCATCTGCTGTCTTTCTACAAACAGGATGTTGACCCTCTCTAGTTGGCTCTTGACAAAAGACACAAGCTTATTTAAAACATGGTCCAAAGTTTAGCACCAGTAAGATCATTACGATTGGCCCGATCAGGGTGGACACCAGGGTGGTCAGCCACGGAGACTGGTTAAACAGCGATTCAAACCACCCTTGTTGAGCCTCTCTATTTCTCTGGGCTAATCTTTCCCTCAGTTCAGCCATAGAATCTCTGACCGCTCCGGTGTGATCAGCATAAAAGCAACACTCTTCTTTCAGGGCGGCACAGAGGCCTCCTTGCTGCATTAGCAGAAGATCTAGCCCACATCTATTTTGTAAGACAACCTCAGAGAGTGAGGACAGTGACTTCTCTAAAAGAAAGATGGATCTTTCAATCCTCTGCAGGTCCTCATCGATCATGATCTGCAGCTGAGAGAACCCTTGCTGTTGGGTGTCTCGTTAGGGACTTTTGGATTAGGTTCTTTTTCCCTTTCAACTGAAGATTGATGAGAGAGAGGCAGTTTTCTCTTGTTCGGTCTCAGTTGTTTATTCTTCTTTTATCAGCATTACAAGGTACAAGGAGCTATGTGCACTATGATAGAAAAGGGGTAAAATGGCTAACAAAGATCCTCTTCAGGTCCATTTACCCAATTAACAGATGCCAACTAAATTATTTTTCTTAGTGACCCAAAGACCCAACACCTGTGCGCTGCACTATGACATTTTTTACCCAATCATTTACTACTACCCAAAAACCCTTAAGAGAAGAACATGAAGAAGAAAGGAGAAGGACAAGAGACAACACCCTAAATCTTCCATCTTGTCTCCTGTTCTCTAAACTACTTTTTCACCCAGTGATTTAAGAAACTTTCTAATCTACACACTTACACTTTTCCTATCTAACTTTAACATTTGTTTTCATGTATCACCATGAAAACATGCTCATGAATTTCATGTTATATGAAATTCAGCGTTTCTTTCAATCCTAGAACTAAGTATTAGAAACAAGGGCACACACTCTGTATCCCATATTCCAACACCAGAGTGAGCTAGTGAGGAAAATGCCTGGCCTGGCTGGGCAGGGAGCTTTTGCAGGAACACAGGAAAAAGATGATGGTGCATCACCTTTGGACAGAGGGACAGGCAACTCAGGAAATGTTTAAGGATGTCGTTAGGTCCTGCAGAAAGAAAAGAAGAGAGGTGAAAGCTGAATTAGAGCTTAACCTTGCTGCTTCTGTGGAGGATAATATATCACATCTCACGGGAGCTGATCTGGCTCTGTCACTTGGGCCGGCACAGGAGTGGGTCACACCCCAGGAGCAGGATGAGCCCAGGTGTGACTAGAGTACTCACTCTATGGCTTTTGGCTGTCAGTCTGTGCTCTGAGGAGGCAAGGACAAGAGGGAGGTCTTTTGCATGGGATAACAGAGGATTTATTGCTCTGGGGAATCTTGGGGGCAAAAGACAGAAAATGCGAGCGTGCAACAGCTGAAATAGGGAGGTGGTTCAAAGGGAGGGTCCAAAGCATCAGCTAATCAGAGATATCCTGGGGAGGGTAAAAGGCAGGGTTCACAAAATCATCATCCAATTGGGGCCCAAAGCACCAAGGATCCACTGTGACACTGCAGGGCCCAAAGCACCAAGGATCCACTGTGACTCCACGGAGTGTCATGGAACTGTGGAGACCATTGTGACACTGCAGGGCCTCATGGAACCATTCTGACACCAAGCTGGCTGGGAGTGTGGATGTGCTGGAGGGCAGGAGGGCTCTGCAGAGGCACCTGGACAGGCTGGATGCAGGGCCCAAAGCCAACAAGGTGAGGTTGAACAAGACCAAGTGCCGGCTCCTGCACTTTGGCCACAACAAGGCCTGCAGTGCTCCAGGCTGGGGCCAGAGTGGTTGGACAGCGGCCAGGCAGAAAGGGAGCTGGGCCACTGATGGACAGCAGGCTGGACATGAGGCAGCAGTGTGCCCAGGTGGCCAAGAAGGCCAATGGCCCCTGGCCTGGATCTGGAATGGTGTGGCCAGCAGGAGCAGGGCAGGGATTCTTCCCCTGTGCTGGGCACTGCTGAGGCCACACCTCGAGTGCTGTGTCCAGTCCTGGGCCCCCAATTGAGGAAGGCCATGGAGGGGCTGGAGCGTGTCCAGAGAAGGGCAACAAGGCTGCTGAGGGTTCTGGAGCACAAGTCCTGTCAGGAGTGGCTGAGTGTGGTGGGTTTTAGCTCCAGCTAAAATCACCAGAATACTTCCTTCTTTCTTGCTGTGAGATAGGGATTAGGAGAAGAGCAAAACAGGCTTAAAACTTAAAAGGAATAAAAATACTTTATGGTTAGGTCTACAAGAATAAGAAACAAGAATAAAACCTCCAGAAACCTTTCCTCCCCCCAGATCCAACTTTTCACTTTCCCAAGTGACATGGCAGAGACAAAACCTGGGATGTTAAAGCAGTGCCAAATATACAATTTTCTTTTCATCAGCCTGTGCAGTGAGGAGTTTTCTCTTGTCATGCCCTGGAGAGTTCTCCACAAGAAACAGTTTTCTCGTGGCCTTTCATTTGTACAAATGGCAGTCACCCGGGCACAAACTCTTCCCTCTCCTCCCATTTTCACACCACTCAGAGGAGCTGTCCCCCCGAGCATCCGGCCACATCAAGAATGCTGCTTCTCAATGCTGCATTGGTGCTGAGGAGTTTTGATTTTAGGGAATTTTGGGCACACTCCCAGTGCCAAGGAAAGCTGTGTCCCCTGCTGTTCACAGACAGAGCAGGGCTGCTGGGAGATGTGGTGGTCAGAGGCTGCCTGGGGTACAGTGACCATGGAATAATGGAGTTTTCAATATTCTGGGACAGAAGGAGGGGCAGCAACAAAACTTCTACTCTGGAATTATGGAGGGCAGACTTTGGCCAATTCAGGATGCAGATTTGGGGAGAACTGAATCAGGTACCGATTTTTTTAAAGGAAACAGCCCTTAAAAACAAAGAAGTCCAGGAAGGATGGACACATTTCCAGAATAAACTTCTCAAAGGATCAGGAGCAGCCTATCCCTGTGTGTCAAACAGTGAGCTAGTGAGGAAAATGCCTGGCCTGGCTGGGCAGGGAGCTTTTTCCAGGAACTCAATGAAAAGATGAGGGTCCATCACCTTTGGACAGAACGACAGGCAACTCAGGAAATATTTAAGGATGTCGTTAGGTGCTGCAGAAAGAAAAGTAGAGCGGTAAAAGCTCAATTAGAGCTTAACCTTGCTGCTTCTGTGAAGGATAATAAATATGTTTTTATAAATACGTGAATGGCAAAAGGAGGGGTAAGGACAACCTCCATTCCTTATTGGGGGGATGAGGTTATCAAAGATGAGGAACAGGCTGAGAGACTTAAGCCCTTCTTTGCCTCACTTTTCAACAATAAGACAGGTTGCCCTCAGGACAAGTGTTCTCCTGAGTTGGTAGATGGCACAGGGAGCAGAACAGACCCCCTGTAATCCAGGAGGAAGCAGCTGGGGACCTGCTGAGCCACTCAGATGCTCACAGGTGTCTGTGAAACCTGATGGGATCCATGCTAGGGGGATGAGGGAGCTGGTGGATGAGCTCCCCATGCTG